GTGTGTGTGTGTGTGTGTGTGTGTGTGTGTGTGTGTGTGTGTGTGTGAGAGAGAGAGAGAGAGAGAGAAGCAGGAAAGAGTAGAATCAGGCTCTCAATAACTAAACAAGCTATAAATAGTTGCTGCTGTGTTTAGAACACACTTTATTTTACACACACACTGGTGGTGGAGGCTCTGGTTGTTATCTGCCCATTTTCTGACACACAAACAACCGTATGCTATAATTCATTCAATTCTACATGCATTAATGTAAAGTGAACTTAAACTGTACTCCGAAGTCCTAATCTTGACTATTATTCCAAAACAACTTTGTGTAATTCTGATGACGTGAATGAACATAAAGCTCTATCAAGATCCACCTCAAAAATCACCCGTTAGACACACTTTTTTTTATAGTTTGCATTCAGTTTAATATTTACTTAATTTTATAATTTTCCCTTTATTCTGTATGTGATTCCCATTGAGATTTAAAGTATATTCGAGGGAGTTGATGCGAAGGCGGCAGCTCTAAAAGTTTCACATAAAAGCACAAGCGGAAGATAAAACAGCAAAAGGTAAATCATATTTAAAAACATCAGCTTCAGCATGATATAAAGCAAATATAAAAAGCTGCAGAATAAGCTACATTTCCGAATGTAATTAAGGAAGTGCATGAAGATCTCAAACAAACTCGTTTTATCGTCTGACGTTTAACATGCAGCATTTGTTGGATGGACATTGTTTTTAAGAGAGTCCTGTATGGAAAAACAGACTACTGTAAAGAAAACATCCACAATACACATGTAGGTGTTTATTTCACTACACTTTGTCTAATTGCATCTGTAGATTTCTCCTAAATCTCCCAAAATGAGCTTTAGATAATACTTAATTTCCAAATAGAGAAATACTGGAATTCATAACACTTTAGAAAACTTAATGTAAAAAATAATTATCTTTATGTAAGTAATCAACTGAGATTTCTTGGAGATGCCTATTGGTAAAAATGTTGCACCCTCTTCACCTGTAGTTTCTAGTCTCAGTATGTATCATTTCATATAAAAGTTCAAAAATACAATGAATCCATTATATAAATTGATTAGAAATAAAGGTGGTGGTTGCTTTACAACATTGTTGAACAATACTGCACATTTTGATTGCAGAAGATATAAAAACGAAAGCGCTTGTCCGTCCATGAACTGTCTCTTGTCTTTGCAGAGTCTCTCCTCTAGAGGGCGATCCAGTCCAGGGTTTTCCTAGCAGAGCAACCAGATCTATTTTTATCCCCAACCCAACGAGTCACTGAACGCTTTCATGATGTCTTTTTGTCTCTTTGTATTTCTGCTCAGGTTAGGGCGCATGGAGGAACACTGCGATCCCGGCGAACGATGCAGAGAAGAGGAAGAGAGAAAATATCCTCACATCACATCCCCTCCATTTCTTGACCCTGAATATTTAGTGATAAGGGGCCTTGTCTATTTATTGGTCAAGTACTGTGCTCGGTCACTGCTCAAATGAAACAAGGCTGCAACAGAGAGAAAGCTTTCAAAATGTACCATCAGTTGGTTGCTTTTGATGCAATATGTGTTCCCTAATTTGATCTCTCATCGTGACTGATTTGCAGGCTGGTCGTTTAAGTTCAAGTTCTCATTTCAGGACAGTAGGGAGCGGTATGTGACCAGGATTGAACCATATCCTCATTGATCGGGACCAGGTATTTCCCAAACCAGCCAGCCAGCCAACCAAAGATGCCTGACACATGCGTTTGCGCACGCTCACACAGACACACACACACACACTCATGGCGGAGCTGAAAATAATCCAGCGGTGGAGGAGGGGGAGTGGGCAGCAGCAGCAGCAGCCCCAACCACATAAATACAAGATTTGTTGTCCTGAATAAGATGGTGAAACTTTGGAGAATTTAGTAATCGTTCAAGCAAATGTATTGTAGCTTGCAATACTTTATTGCTGTAGTCACAAATTCAACCTGGAGTTCCTGCTTTTACTGAAACAAAAGGCCAACTCAATTTTACACCACAACCTCTGGAGTAGATTGCTAAATTTTCTCCTTCAGTGTTGTTAAATTGGGATGGTTACACTGGACATCGTAATCAAGATTATTGGAGAGAAATGATCCATATTATATCACCTTGTAATGCATAGACAGATCTCCTGGAGGCCTCTAACTTTCACACTTTGAACTGAGCTCTCCTTACTGAACACCACCAAGTGATGAGAATAACAAGCTAAGTCTTATATTGAAAAGTGATTAGTAAGGTTCTTAACTGATATTCCCCATATGCAACAAAAATGTACTCGTCTCGAGAGGAGATGCTACTGTCTCTATATGTTCATTGTTTCAACCATTTTTTTTTTTTTTATTGGATTGTGCACAACTTTTAAGTCAATCACAACTGGCACCACATGAAAGTTTTTTGCCCAGTGAAAGTGCAGCGGCACGTTTTCTCAGCACCACAGCTGTCTTTTCCCAGCTTCTTGTGAATTCTGCCCTACATCCGTCCTTGACCCTGTGATGTTATCCAACAATGTCCAGGACACGATGTTGGGAGAAGTAAAAGGACAACAGCTTGTGGACCACAGAAATGTAGACAGCACTGTATGTTTCAGACCTGTCCATGTTCTGAACCTCAGTGTGTGGACGAGTCCTGACGGGAACTGTCTGTGGTGCTGAAATCACACTTAACCAACACAGGGTTTGCCCAAAATGCATCCGAGGAGAACTTTGCTTGACAAAAACTTTTTTGTTCAAATTCATTCCATACAATTGAGAGCAGCATTTTTGATTGAAACGGATGATTGTCGTTTGATTTTCACTAGACTATGGTGCATAACGTGAGTTTATTAGTGTTATGTTACCAGTATGTCCAGACTTCGACGTCTCGAAAATAGTTATGGAGTTTAATAACATTCCTTCTAAGAGGGAAGAAAGCTTTGTTGCTCCACACAGAGGTCAGAGGTCGAGGCAGTGACACACCATCTGAGTTCTGCATCCAGCATTATCAGCTGGTTGTGCCCAGGCATTGATTTATCGCGTGAGGTATGGGTGCAGATAACAACCCGGAGTTTACGCATACAACTAAATCTGTTGAGAAAAGGGAACTTTTTCTTCTATCTTATATTTTGTATAAACGCACCATCCGCCCCCTCATGTACAATGCTGGGAATAGTAACAGCACTGTGAGGCTGGGCTAAATATAGCAGCCAGTGAGTGTTAACATGTCAACTTCAGCAGGAGTGCAGGGAAGCGGCTGCTGCACATGTGACCGCTGTGGATGTCCACAGTGTCGCTATAAACACCAACCAGCCCTTCCCTCTGCTGCTGTTTATTATATGCATAGATACCAAGTTTTATAAAAAAAATACATCAGTTCCTCCTGTCGCACGACAAAAACACAAATGTCCCAACATACATGGAAACGATGCCAATGATAGCGCTTCAATCAAGAAAAATTACAAATATTTGTACATTCTCTGCCTCTCAAAGACAGAAATGATCAGAATTACCTTTTTTTATTATTTATATCGCATTTAAAGTGAGATATTGAGGAAGTCACAAACGGCGATGAAACTGATTTCTGGACGTGGTTTTGCTCCGTTAGATCCCCGAAATCATCATTAACCTCTGCCGATAGAGCCGCATCAGCTCCTGTTATATATTTACACGATTCCGTTGATGAAGGACGGGTTTGAAATTCAGCTCTTCTAAATCTAAGAGAGGATGGGGGTGGATGATGGATTTTGGGAAGGGAGGGGGGGGCAGTTTATTTTTATCACGGCCGCCTTTCAGAAATAGTAGGCAGTCTAAAAAAGACAGACCTCATGAGTTCTTCTCAGTCGAACACGCTTGTGCAGCAAACCGTGCATTTATTTGTGATGGAAGGAGACTTTAAACACCCCCCACCCTCCCTCAGCACCACCACCACTCCACCCCCCCCCCCCCCCCCCCCCAACTATGTTACGTAATCTAACATGTGAATGTCAAGAGACAGAACGAGTCGTAGAGAGAGAGCAGAGGGAGAGGAGGGGGTGTCATTTGGTCTATGCATAGAGCTCCCAAAACTCATACCCAGGGAACACAGTGTACTCTTGTGCCCCCTCCCCTCCCCTCCCTCCCTCCACGAGCACTTACACGCGCACAAGTTCAAGTTGGTGATTCCAACTGTATAGAAAAAGAAAACCCCCAAAACAACCTGGAATACCGGCAGCAGATAGACAGAACAGGTGGCTTCCCGCATTCCCACATTCATCCCATTCACAGACTCTGCGGGACGAGATTTGTATGAATGAGTGAGTGGGAAGGTGATGGATGAATGAATGAATGACTGCACGGAATGAGTGAATGAAGAGAAGCAGCTCGGGGCCGCGCATCTCCCCTGTCCCTCTCAATGGGTTTTCTTTTTTTTTCTCTCTCCTGCAGAGGGAAGTACGGCTGCACGGACAATAACCAGGCATGGAGAACACACACACACACACACACACACACACACACACGTACACACACGTTAAAGGGGGGCCGGGGTGATGGGGGAGGGGGGGGGCATGCGCGCGCACGACGTACATGCCAAACATACACAACATACACGACAAAGC